GCCTGCCACCGGAAGTCCCTCGAAAAAATTCTTGAAGCCACTGAGCTAATGAATTCCAGAATGAAAGCCAAAGATGTCACCCCAAATCTACAAATTGAACCCCAGACTCCAACTGATGAACTTACAAGCCAAAAAAACAACAGAAGAGGAACAAATTAACATCAAAGAGGATCCTACACAACAACACGCACAATTTACTGAGAACTTTGATTATCAAACATTGATTTCAACTAAAGTACCTGTAACTCCAAAAGTAACAGAAACTGATCAACAAACACAATATATTGAAAACTTAGACAATTTAGACAATCAAATAACAATTATAACACCGGACATGACCTTTTATTCTAGTCAGACAAAACTGGAAGAAGAAGAAGAAGAAGAAGACCAGACTGAACTGATGACAAATATCCCAAACATGGAGACTTGAATTATTAGGGCAACAACCTAACAACTACAATGGGGCCAGTTCCTTTGAAAAATTGATAACTGGATGTTCTCCCTTGATTCAAACAACATGTGTAGGAATGAAGGGAGACTCATCTGATGATTTAAAGGCACTAGTATGGAAGCCTGCTTGGCACAAAAAGAAAGTCAAAGTTAGATTTAAAATGGGACTTTCTTTCTCCTTTTTTTCTTTTTCGCTGACTGATGATGGAATAGCTTAAAATTTTGCTTAATGGGTTAAGGAGATTTTTAGAGATATTGATTGATTTAATATTTAGGACCTAGATCTATGAAGGAAATGAAAATTAGTTATTAGATTATAGTTTTGAATTGTAACATGGAAATGGGTTTGTGACAATGAAAGATATTTTCTTAGTAAATGAGGAGCTACTAGGAAGAGAAATAGAATATACTTGTGAAACAAAGTAAGAATGTAACTTTCTGAACAATATGTGTATTTTAGACACGATAATTATTTTGTAATGAAATGAGGGAAATTAGGGTTACCCGAAGTTTAAATATTATGGTTATTAAAGGCTAAATTGGAACATGGTAATTGGAATTAAGTAAAACTTAAAAACAGGACTTGGATATGTATAAGTAAAATTATATTGACAAATGTATTGATGGATTGAGTTATATCTAGAAATGTATTAACTTGAATATGATATACTAATTAAGGGAAGCAGAGGGAACTTTTAATGATGTAACCTGAGATATGCACGAATGATTTTGTTATTGGACTATTGATTACCCTATCACCACGCTGCTTCCTAAATACTTGGATGTAAAAATTGAAAAATTAATAAAACTTGTTATATAAAAAAGAAAGATGTATGTAACGAACTTTTATTGGAGGCAAAACTCCCAAATACATGGACAGAAGCAAATGTTACTTTGATACCAAAAGAGGACTCAGATTTGACCCAGATAAAAAACTATAGACAGATATCACTATTAAATGTGGACTACAAAATCTTCACTTCAATAATAGCTGAAAGGCTGAAAAGATTTTTGATTGAATTTATACACCCAGACCAAAACGGATTTTTGCCAAAGAGACAAATAAAAAATAATTTGAGAGTAATACTAGACATATTGGAATATTATGAACTGCATCCAGGGAGACAACTGGCATTAGTATTTTTAGATGCCAAAAAGGCATTTGATAATGTTTCTTGGCAATTTATGATTCAACAATTAAAACAATGGACTTTGGTCACAACTTTTTAAATACAATTCAGACAATATATCAGAAACATACAGCAAAAATGATTGTAAATGGGGATTATACAGAGAATTTTGATATATGAAAAGGCACAAGACAAGGATGTCCATTATCCCCACTGCTATTTATCTTAACTTTGGAAGTTTTAAATAGAAACATTAAGCAAGCTCCAGAAATTAAAGGATTGAAAATAAAAGGTGAAACCTATAAATTGCAAGCATTTGCAGATGATTTGGTATTCATTTTAGAGGAACCTTTAGAGACGAATCCTAAACTGTTGGAAAAGATAATACAATTTGGAGAGATAGCAGGGTTAAAGATAAATAGAGAAAAAAACTAAAGTGATAGTTAAAAATCTTACAGATAAACAAAAAAAAGCAATTATCAGAAAAAATAGAATTGCATATAGTCAAAAAGGTCAAATACTTGGGAATATATTTGACAGCAAGATGTTCAACAATAAAAGAAGATAACTATATTAAATTGTTAAATCAAATAAAGCTTGATTTGGAAAAAATGGAAGAATCTGCAACTGTCGATGTTAGGAAGAATTGCTACGTTGAAAATGAATATATTACCAAAAATATTATTTTTGTTTCAAATGATACCTATAAAACTGGAGAAAAAATTCTTTGAAGATTTAAACTCTCTAATTCAAAAATTTATCTGGCAAGGAAAGAAAGCTAGAATTAAATTGAAAATGTTACAAGAAGCCAAGGGAAATGGGGGTTTTGGCTTGCCAGAATGGGTTTTATATTATCAAGCATCAGTGCTAACATGGGTAAAAGAATGGATAACTCTTAGAAATAAAAGATTGCTGTACTTGGAGGGACATGACCTACAACTTGGTTGGCATGCTTTTTTATGGTATGAAAAAAATAAAATACATAAATACTTCCAAAACCACTATATTCAAAATGCACTATTATTAACATGGGAAAAAATAAAATGTAAAATTTATTTGAAAATTCCACGATGGCTTTCAACAATGGAAGCATTTGTATATCCAAATCTAGTCAGTCTCGATAAAATATGGACATATAAAGATATTCTAAATTCTGAAGGGAATCTAAAATCCAGGCAAGAGATGGAAAATCAGGGCATCGATTTAACATAGTGGTCACATTTACAAATGCAAGTGAGATATGATAAAGATATTAAACAGTATGGATTTTACAAAGAGCAGACTATGTTTGACCAGACATTACTAACTTCCAACAAAAAGTTAATTAAAAATGTACAATTTCTTATTAAATCTCAAAATGGAAGATGAACAAGTAAAAGAGACAATGATAGCATGGGCAAAGAATTTTGGATATAATATATAGACTTAGATTAGTGGCAAAGTTTGTGGGAAAGAAACTATAAATTGACAATATCAGCTTCATATAAAGAAAACTTATACAAAATGTTCTATAGATGGCACTTGCCACCAACAAGATTAGCAAAAATGTTTAAAAATATGTCAGAGAAATGTTGGAAATGTAAACACAAACCAGGTTCTTATTATCATATGTGGTGGACATGTGTTGAAGCAAGGAGATACTGGACAATAATCCACACTTGGTTACAAAATATGTTAGAGAAACACATAGACCAGTGATGGCGAACCTTTTAGAGACCGAGTGCCCAAACTGCAACCCAAAACCCACTTATGTATCATTGGGTGCCGAGTGGGTGTGGCCCATTGGGTGGGCGTGGCCCATTGGGTGGGCATGGCTGCAGTGGAAACGGCAGACTAGTTGGGACTAAAAAGTTCAATCAATCAATTCCAACTTTGCAAGATCTTTTTTTTTCCCACGAGAAGTTCAAATTGATTGATTGACCCTTTTTTTTTGTACACGGTGGCAGAGGCCTAAAGCAAAAAGGGTTTATAAAACCCAGCTGAAGGCCTAGGACTGGGGTGACGGTGCGCGTGCCCACAGAGAGGGCTCTGCGTGCCACCTGTGACACGCGTGCCATAGGTTCGCCACCACGGACATAGACTATAAACCTGAATTTTTTTTACTAGGTATAATGCCAGAAAAAACTTGATAAGCAAAGTACATACTTGATTTTACATGTGATAACAGCGGCAAGAATTATACTTGCACAATATTGGAAGAACGAAGAAATACCACCAAAAGAAGAAATAATTAAAAAATACTAGACTCTGCGGAAATGGACAGACTTACTTTAAGGTTGAAGGAAAAAGAAGAAACAGAATATTTTCAAAGAATATTTTATCAATGGTTAGAGAAAAGATTTAGGGATTAGGAATTTAATTTGTATTAGTGAATAAGATACTCAGACAATACGTTTTTGTTGAATGATTACTATTGAACTCTGTTAAAAAAAGTAATAAAATTTTATTTTAAAAAAATCCATGCGTTTCGCTGGAATGTCTAATATTACTCCTGTTTTGTTGTACTTTATTGTAGCCCCTATTTTGCACAGTAGGTCTCTGCCCATAAGGGACAACGGAGACTGTGGGCAGATGGTGAAGGCATGATTTAAGGAGAAGCGGCCAATCTCCACCTTCATTTCAACAGTGAATTTGACTGGGATGGTTTTTCCCCCTACTCCAACAATATTATCCTGGGCCCCCAGTACTACAGAATCCTTAAAAGGAGGGGTAGTAATGAGAGATGAGGTGGCGCCTGTATCTACCAGACACTCATATTCTCTTCCCCCTATAGTGATGGTAATGAGGGGCTCTCCGTCTGGGCCGCTTCTTAGGGGAATGGCCAGACCGGCAAAAGTGGCTTGAAATTCTGTTTTTTCTTCCTCTAGTCCCGTGGTGGTGAACCTATGGCACACGTGCCAAAGGCGGCACGCAGAGCCGTCCCTGTGGGCACACACGCCATTGCCACAGACGGCGGGACAGAGGGCCCGGCTCCTCCCCTCCCCCTCTCCACGCATGCGGAGTCCGGGAACAGCTGCGAGAGCTGGGCGGGGTGAGGGAACCTATAAAAGGAGCAGTTTTGGCGGGAGAGTGAGTGAGCGGCCTTTGGAAGCGACCAGTGGTGGGTTTCAAATCATTTAACAATCGGTTCTCTGCCTCGCCTTCCCTCCGTCTTGGTCGGGCTGGGCTGCTTGGGGGGTCGGCTGGGGTGAGTGCAGGAGGGTGGGGGTCAGCAGGTCCCAGCTGGGGGAAGGTGAGGGGGTCTGGCTGGGGGCGTGGGAGGGCCGGGATGCCTTCGCGGAGGAAAGCCCCCCCCTCTGGCTGAGCCTCTCATCCACACTACGGTCACGTAGGATTGCATAGAAGGGGCAGGGGGCTGGGGGGGGGCGTCCAGCAGGGGGGAATCAGAGCCACCATCTCCCGCAGTGCAGCCCTATCGGCATGGGCGGAGACGGCCCTGGGACAGCCAGAAAGGAGCCCTCACCTGGTGCGGGCCCTGTCTACACGGTGGCTCTGATGGGGGTGGTGGCTGCTGCTCCTGCTGCTCTGAGCCCCTTGACCAGCCAACCACACAGGAAAGCAGAAGGCGGCGGCGGTGATCCCTGCATCGCCAAGCCCGGCCGGCAGCAGATCTGGAAGCGAAGCTGTGCCACCCATACTCGCGCTGGTGGAGGCAGCGACGGGGGAAGGTGAGCTGTGGCGCACACCCACCCCTCCCCGCTGCCACCCCACATTGTCCTGCATGTATGTCCCAGAGGCACACACAGGACAATGTGGGGCAGCAGTGGCAAAGGGTGGACGCATGCCAGATCCTGCCTTCCCTCGCCGCCGCCACTGCCCCCACCAATGCAAGGATGGTCAGCACAGCTTCGCTTCTGGATCTGATGCCTGACACCATCGGCCCCCGCACACAGAGGCCAGCGAGCACATGGGGGCCGACGGTGTCCGTCAGCAGCCACAGCATGCTGGCTGTCCTGCATAATGGTGACTGGCCACAGAGCCCCATCGGCGTGGGCGGAGACAGCCCCAGGACGGCCGGAAGGAAGCCCTTTCCCAGCCTGGGCCCATCCACTCGACAGCTCTGATGGGGTGGCTTCTGCTGCTGCTCTGACCAGTCAACCATGCAGGGAAGCAGGAGGAGGTGGAGAGGCAGCCGGGGGTCTGGAGCCACCTTGGCTGCTCGCTGGCAGCCCGATGAGGCAGCGGATGTCGCGCACCAGCTGCCCCTCCTGCTTTCCTGCATGGTTGACCGGTCGGACCAGCAGCAGAAACCGTCAGAGCCGTCGAGTGGATGGGCCGGGCTTCCTTCCGGCCGTCCCGGGGCCATCTCCACCCACGCCGATGGGGCTCCGTGGCCAGTTCACCATTATGCAGGACAGCCAGCAGGACAGCCAGCATGCTGTGGCTGCTGACGGACACCATCGGCCCCCATGCCCTCGCTGACCTCTGTGTGTGGGGGCACACTATCTGTATTTTGGCACTAAGAAATCCCACTAACCTTTTGGGTTGCAGTTTGGGCACTCAGTCTCTAAAAGGTTCGCCATCACTGCTCTAGGTATTGGTTCTGGAAGTCATTTCCCCATTTGGTTCCCAATGGGGCCCTCCTGTGGTTCTCCTTTCCCTATCTTGAAAGGATATCTCCCTTGGAAAAGGGGCTCTTGTACGCTGGTAACAGTGTTGGTTGAGGTTTTGTTTGCAATCATACTTGAGATGGCCCATTTCGCCACACCTATGGCAGTGCTGACATTATATCCAGGCACTCCCTCTTCTTCACACCGCCAGCAGAGTTGTTGCCTATCAAAGGGCTGATGGTTTGTTTGTTTGGCCTCGTTATGTATGGCTGCAAAGACTTGCAGGTCCTCCCTCCTCTCTGCTCTCCTCTTTCCGTCCCTTTCCTTCTCTCTTTCTGTCTCTCTCCGTTTTTTTCTTCCTCCCTTATTCTTTCTTTTGGTCATAGACAAAGTTTGCAATTCTACGCAACTCCGAGAGCTCCAAGCTAGACCAGTTTGACACGATTCGATGGAAATGTTCCTTAATGTCATTGGCAGACTGGTCCACGAAGGCGGAGGTGAGAATTCGCTGATCTGTTGGGGAGTTTAGATCCAGGTGGGCATATTCCATGGCTGCCTCCAGGAGGTGGACCCAAAAGGCATCTGGGTTTTCCTTCTCTCTCTGAGTTGTTTTTTGGAACTCTAGCCAATTAAGAGGTTTTTTTTCCTATTTCTTGAAGGGCTTCCATTAGGTTGTCTTTCGCCCTATTATATTCGTACCAATGGTTGGCATCATTATAGTCCCAGCCAGGACAGTTCAGAGGCCAGGTGACTCACACAGGGGCTACCTGCCCTGGTGTAATTATTACTGGGCACCTAGCTATTTCTGCTACCTTCTTGAATAGTTTTAGCAGTTTGTCTTTGGTTAGGAAGACATGCAGTAGCTGGGTCATGTCTCCCCATGACGGATTGTGGCTGTCTATTATAGACTTTAAAGTCTAAATCACAGCCTGGGGGTCTGACCTGAAGGAGGGGGCATCCCTTTTCCAAATGACTAGGTCAGATGCGGAGAAGGGTGTGTGTGTCAGCACATATTCAAGTTGTCCTCCCTCTTCCTGAGACTGGTTTACTCAAGAGGGGGACCATGATTCCTGGTTCTGAATTGTTGGCTGTGGAAGGGGAATCTCCTTTTCCTATTTCCATCTTCAGGGTCGGGTTTTTATACCTGGATAATTCTGCCCAGCAATACCAGTAGGGTATCTGGCTGGGTCTTGTTATGGGTCTAAGTGCCTTTAATGTTGCAAAATCAAAAATACCGTCGCTTGGCCAAATTTGTTTCCCAGTTTCATCCTTTAGTAAAACCCATTCTTCACAAATTTCTCGTGCTCGCTTTTTCTTCATACTGGCTAGGACAGGCACTCGCCTCTCGTCCCATGCCTTGAGCAAATCTCCAATGGGGGATTTAGACCTGACCCTCGAACTACAGCTTCCCATGTTCCCCTTACGATGTGGGGTTCAATCAGCTTAGTTGGGTCCTAATGGCATTGCCCAGCCACTCTTAGTGACACCAACCCTGCCGCCCTCCCATCAATTTTTGGACAAAAAACCCCCCATCCTGGAGGACTCTGGTTCCCTCACAGAGTACGGGCACCTCCTAAGCAGGGTACTTCCTGCCATCAATTTTCAGACCAAAAAGGGGTCTGGGAGGACCTGCTGCCCTCGGCTCAACAGGTACGGGCACCTCCTTCACCCACCGTCAATTTTCAGACCCAGGAGGGGTCTGGGAGGACCTCTTCTTTGTGCAGTGGTACGGGCACCTTCCTTCAAATGGGCTTTGCCTACAGGATGTTACCAGGATCTCCTATTAACTCCAACCCATTCTCATTTGATGCCCACTTAGCTCCCTTTGCTCCTTTCTGCAAAAGGTTCCACACTCCAGTTCAACCCCTTTGCGTTCCAGATTCCTGCTGGTCATGGCTTGGTAAAGCTAGCAGCAGGCCTGGGGCGGGTAGGAAAAACACGGAGGAGGTGGAATCCTAGCTGCAGCCAGAGGAGGAAGCCCCCCACACAAGCCCTTTCACTCCCCAAGATTCCTTAAAACTGTAATTTAGCGGTACTTACCCACTTTCAGGCAGCTGTTGAGCACAAGACTCAAAGACCTCCCTTTACTACCCTATGCCACTCGGGCAGGGTCCATGGGCTTCCCCACAGACAAAAGGGTCTGTTGCAGGCTGGGTAGTGGTCCTACGGGCCCGGTCTGGTGGCTGGGTTTCCTGGAAGTCCCTTCGTGGTCACCAGAATTGTAGAAAGAAAATACCTCTGGTTCATTTCTCCAGCTGGCGACAAGCCTTCAGCACGCACGAAAATAGACAAAAAGCGAAGCAAGCTGCCAGAAAGTGGATTTTAATTCAGAAGCCAGACAGAATAGTGACTCAGCAATGGATTCTGGGCTAGCTAGCAATTTTTCCAAGGAAAATGATCCAACTCTAATACCCCCTATGCTATTGAAGTCTTGATGGGATTTTCAAAGGGCTATTTGTTTTTCTAGTAAAGCAGAGCTGCTTAATTCATACTTTGCATCAGTCTTCACACAAAAAGAAACTATAGCCCAACATACCAAAAAAAACACTGCAAAAGACAAATTAGAAACAAAAATTGCTACTTTTCTACAACAAGATTCGCAACAGAAAGACACCCAAGCGATACTCCAGGCAATTTCAGCTCAAACCAAAAATATTGATGATCTGAAAATGGAAATGAAAAAAGATTTGGAAAAAACTTATGAAGATTTGAAAAGTGATCTTCTTAAAATGGATAAAAAAATGGAAACCTTTCAACAGGCGATGGCAGACACTCAACAAAGAATGCAAAAAATAGAAGATAAGTCAGTGGTGGTCGATCAGAAAATCGAAGCATTGCAAGAGGAAAATCAGAGATTGGCGCAAGCTAATGCGGAACTGGAGGACAGCATGGCCGTGATGGATTTCAAAATATTGTAGAAGAGAAAGATGAGAATTTGTTGGAGTTGATGAGCGAATTATTAGCGAAATTGCTTGGAATGGAAATGGATCAAATTAAAAGAGAAATAGATCAGGTTTTTAGAATCAATTCAAGCTATGCAAGAAGAAACAGAGTTCCTAGGGTGGTCCATGTAAGATTTCTTAAAAGATTTACATGCGATGAGACCTTGAGAGCAATAAGAGACCAACCACTGAAATATAAAGATAAAGAACTTGTAGTTCTTAAACAGATTCCCAGAAGGATAAGAGAAGTGTGAAGAGAATATCAATTTTTAACGAGGAAACTCTTTAATAAGGGAGTGAACTTTAGATGGCTGGTCCCAGAAGGATTATTAATCTTCTGGGACTCGAAAAGATACAGAATAGATACTCCATTCCAAGCAGAGGAATTTTTTAACAATCACAGAGCCTTTTTAGAAAAAGGCGATGCTGAACCCAAGAAACCAGAAGAGACGATGGGTGCAGGAGCACCGAAACAATCGGAGGAGGGGGAATCAAAAAAGACGCAATCAGAGGAAGATGTAAGACCGAAAGACCAGAGACAGATAAGCTCCCCTAGAAGACTGAGGTCTAGATATAATTGAAATTATGGAGGAGATTGGAATTTTTTCAATAAATATAAATGGTCTTAACTCCCCATCAAAAAGGAGTACAATATTTTTTTTTTTAATTTTTTTTTATTTTTCACTATACACCATACACCAAAAACTACATAAACATAAATCTTTTCTTCTAACAGAACAGTGCTTTACATTTTAAATATTCTTTACATCTTATTTACATTTTATGTACATCAATAATTATGTCTTTTTCTTTCTCTGTTCTAGCCAATTATAACATTTATTCCAAATTTCATAAAATTCTGACGT